AGGCCAAAAAGTGTCATCCACTAATATGAAAAATGTCCTTATTTTATTTAAAAAGTTGCACCTTTTTGTTACATATACGGACAAGTGGTAGTTTGCGTTTGCTGGCTAGTTACCAACTATTTTAATAGTTTTTCATTAGATAACACGTGGCCAAATTTCTTTTTAAAAGATTTAGAGTTTTTTTTAGGAATATGATTTAGTTATTTTTAAAAATATTTTTTATATTAAAATAATTTTTTATTTTAAAAAATTATTTTAAGATCATTCCATAAAAACAATATAAAACATAAAAAATTATTTTTTAATAAAAAAATTATTTTTTTTTAAAACATGAATTGACTTATGTTTCCAAACGCTCTCTTACAAGTCAAATATTCACTTTTATAGTTTTTTGAGTGTTCTATTTCTATTTGTTGGTATCCTGATATAACAAAATGGGTCCCATGTTATGTTGAAGGATAGGATAATTTTGTTTCAATTAAAAAAAAATATTTGGATGATAATAATATGATATAACTTGAGTTAGATTTGCAAAAATGTAACTCAAGATATGACACTAAAACAACCTATAAAAAAAAATTGTAAAGCTTAAAACCAAATATAATGTCAACAAAAGAAAACTCGAGTTAACTTGAAAAACTCATTACTAATAATACGAGATCATGATAAAAAAAAAACAAAAAGAATTTCAAAAGAAAAACTTAGTATAAGAACCAAAGTTTAATAAAAAAATTCAAGTTAACTCAAGTTAACTTTACTAGTCCGCCCTCAAAATAACCAAACAAAAAGAAAAGTAAAAAAAAAAAAAGGCAAAGCTCAAGATAAAATAATTTAATGCAAATTGATGAAAATAAAAAAAAATTAATTTAAATCAACTCAAGTTAACATAACTAATGTAGCATCACATAAGATTAAGGTAAAAACAAATTAGACCTTTAAAAGAAAAATTTAGCCAAAAAGACTAAAGTTGAATAAAAATACATTAAAAAAGAAAATACAAGTTAACTTAGGTTACTTGACCAATCCTTGTCGGAATAACCAAGCAGAAAGAAAAGTTAAATAATCTATATATATTTGGCAAAAAAAAAAACCTAGAGTTGCTGGGCTATAAACCCGCATATACGAGTGGGCCTTCAAGCCCATACGACTAGGCTTATCTCTATTTTTTTCATATATTTTAAAAGGGTAAAGAACTTATTCTGTAAAAAATACATAAACGACATATCGTCAGTAAGCCTAGATTCCATCCACTATAGTGGTGGCTGAAAAATCAAGGTAACGTCTTTTTTGTTTAAAAACTCAATTTCAACTAGAAAAACATCTAAATAACATTCTTGGAACATCCATAAATCAATCCATCAACTCAAAATATCATAAAAAGAGTCCAAAAATATGAAATCAAACTAAGTTAGATTTATCTTTCTTTGCTTAGATATATTTTTTCAAGTAATATTGTAGGTTTAAACAACCACCATTAAGCACTTCTTATCTCATGTAACCCGTGGACACCGAAAGAATTCATTTTGGTTGTTGAAAATGGCTTGGGGTATGACTTTCTCTTTAATCGTTGAAATGTAGCAAGTCTTCTCTCTTTTCTTTTTAACCAGGAACTGAAAAATAATACAAATAAATTTTTGTATCGAAACTAACTTTGTTTAAGTTTTAAGGGATCTAAATTGTATAATTTACGTTAATTTTAAAGTTTGAGGACTTTAATATATTTTTCATATAATCTTTGATATACTACCCATGTTTGATACCTTTTAATTTTGGTCCCTATTCTTCATATCTCATCTTTGACTAACAAATCCAAATTAATGGGCATTTAATAAGGATTAAATCGTTTAAAATAAAATCAATAATCAAAATAAATTGTTCATAAAATCACAGTGCTATCCATAATGTTTTGTATGTGTGCGTAAATAATGTCATCTTCACAATATAACCCACATGTTTTAGTTATATATATATATATATGTGTGTGTGTGTGTGTGTGTGAAATCCTAACTTAATTTTTTGACCACCTCTTTCATGATGATAAATGGTCGAAAATTGTATAGTAGACAATATATTATTTATATTTTTTGAAAGAAAAGATACATATGAAATAATTTTTTAAAATACAAAAAAAGAGTAAAATACTAGGGCCTGGCCCACGCAACTGCATATTTTTCTTTAAATGAGTTAGATATAAAATATTTTTTAAAGATAAAAAAGGGTAAAACTCTAGGACTTGGTCCATGCAAATGCATATTTTTCTTTAAAGAAGTCAGATATGAAATATTTTTTAAATGATAAAAAAAATAAAACACTAGAGCCTGGTCCATACAAATGCATATTTTTCTCGGAATGAGTTAGGAGAGTTAAGCGCCAAATTAAAATGTTTGACCTTTTATATATTAGGCTTGTTGCACAATTTGTATTTTTTTATTATTAAATTTTATGAAAATAAATATATTTAAGATGTTATTAAACATTTTTAATATATTGATTAAGCACATATCTCAACTGTTGTGTTGACAATGAAAGATTTCTTTAAGTTACAAAAGTGTTGCCAAGACTAGCATTTTTGGGTCTTACATTTAGAAACTAATTTTCTATCCTCGTCGTAGCAAAATGCGGGTAAAGTTGGCTACTTTACCTGAAAACCAGTTCCCTGAAATTTGCTTTCGACACAGCGAGAGAAGGTGGGAGTGATCAGTGAACACGTCTCCATTGACCTTAACCCTAGGGATCATGAATGTCACGAAACAAGTAATATTTGATGCTTCCATGATCGATATTCTCCTGTGGACCTAAACTAATAGAGATTTCTTGGTGTGTTTGGATCCATGATTGCCAAAGGATTTTGTCCACGTGTATGATACAGATTGATAATAAGGATATATGACCTTCCCAAATGATGCCCAAGAAAAAGAAGCCAATGAGGTCTAAGTAAATAATGAGAGATTTCATTTGCAAAATTTCAAACTTCCTTTATAAAAAGTGGGAAAGAAGAAAAGGAAATTGGGCCGATCAGATTTTAATACATTCTTCTTCCATGACATAATTTCTTTTCTATCTAACTCATTATTGCTCGAGTTGTTTAATTAGGTATTCGAAAGTATAATAATAGTTATTTAAAAAAATAGAAATTAATCAAAATAATTTTTAAAATTTTCTTTTGAAAATATTAAAATGATAAAAAATCACTATAAAAATAATTTAAAATAAAAATAAATAAACTTGTATAAAAACAGGTTAATTCACAACCTGGGAAAACACAGGCACGAAAGTTGGCCAATTGGGCTATTTAGTATTTTGTGGGCTAATAACACTCTTAACATGTTTATGGCTGTCCCATGACTCTGCGGGACAATAATAACAGTACAGCTAAGCCCAAAAGCCACTGAAAGGCCTTAGCGTTGAGACTGACAATGGGAGTATGGCCCATGTCCACAAATGTAATCATGTGCATCCTAAATCCCATGACATTACCTATCACTGCTGCGTGGGCTGACTTGGTTCAATATTAGCATCGCCATGGAGTTTTTAATCTATCATTATATTTACAAACATTTTTAATTGATAGAATAATCACGATGACTTACATATGATATATTTTGATATAAAAAAATACTCCATGTCATAAATAAATGGGTAAATAGCCTCTTTAATCTTGTATTTTAAACAACATATCCAGTAAATCTTTATATACAATCTTTATATTATCATTCTGATATTCCATTCACATAAAATAAAAACTCAAAAATCCATACTTGATAAATAATTTGCTATATATATATATATATAATGGGTTGAAAGTACATTCATTTGTTAAAATATAATCACGTTAAAAATCAACTTCTTGTATCAAAGATAAACTTGTTTGTGAAAGAAGGATTGTGTTTATTAACAAGCAGCGATAATAATTATAGTCGAACTCAATGAATACTAACCGAAACCTACTTGAATAAATAGAAAGTTTTTAGACCTGACTGGGTTTGAGTATAACTCAAAAATAAGAGATATATTAAAGGGCGAGTTTCAAGTTAATTATAAATATTGATTGGTTTGCCTGGTCTCAAATAAATAAATAAATTTTAAAGTTTAGAAAAACTACATGCATACCAAACTAATTATATACTAAATAGTTATAAATTATAGATTCAAGTTTATATTTAGATTTTAAATTTATATTCGGATTATAAATACTTGATAATTATTTAAAATCTAATTAGATAAAGTTTAGATGTCAAAAATCTATATCTATTTAGGTTTAGCATTCAAAAATCTATGCCTATTTAGATTGTGAATGGATTTAAATAATTATTTTAAATTTAAATTTGAGTTTGGATATGGATATTACAAACCAAGCCGTTGAATCTCGATTGTCATCCTCTGATAAGCTGCCAAATGACTCGTAATCCCACGTCACATCACTCTCAGGGGAGAAAAAAGGGCCCCATAAAGAAAGTTACACCACGATATTTGTGGGGAGGCCTGCGATGGTAATGGTCCAGCTTCTATAGACATATATTTGCAGGTCCATGGCCCTTTTCTCTTTTCGGTTGCCACACAGTAACAAAATCAAAATGGAGTCGGGACCTGTGATCGAAAGGCCATGAACGGCTTGCCAATTGAACTAAAGGACGTGGACCGTTGATCCAAATGCAATGAGTCTCTACCTTGTTTTCTTCTTGCTTAAAAAACCAATAACTATCTGCATTTCATGCACGGATAACACAAGAAAACGATTGGCGCCTTCCAAATTCAATCTGTGGCCTGCTTGGCCACAGCCCGCTCTGCTAAGATTAAAAACAGGAACTTAAATTTACTGTTCTATTTAAATGTAAAAGGTTTATCTTAGGAATTGTAGTTGTATTTTCCCAGTTCGAACCTTTCTCCTCATTCTGGTGTGTTACAAATAATTACATTGGATGTTGAATTTTGGGATTGCAGTGGATAAACGCACTTTCTAAATTTGGATGTTCAGCAGAAACTAAAATAACAACACCGAAAACATCTGAAGTTGCAAGTCATTGTACCCAGCAGCTTTTCAATTAAAGAAAACCCCACATTCTGAAACTTGACAACATTCAACGCTAAAACTCCCCTCCTCAAGTTACAGAAAACATGAAATCATATCCACCTGAAACACTAACAACTTGAAGGTAACCGGACTAGCATATGGACACCGTCAGCTTGAAATGGTAGGTTTTCTTGAATAAGAGCTCTGCTGTTCGACAGCTAGTCAGATTTAAGATCTTGTGTAGGAACATAGTAGGAACCTCCATTCTGCTCAACACCATTTTCCACTCCCTTTTTCAACTGAATTGCACAGAAGGGATACGATATTAGCCGGAATTAATGATGCAGAATCCAAGTAGAAGGCATAGCTATATTCATACTGCTTCACATTGATCTATCTTGAACAATAATTGTATGTGATTTAGAGCATAGATACAAGACATCAAGCAAGTTCCCTTGGTCAATCGACATATTTAAAAAATGAAAAATGCATTTACCTTCCGAAGAAGCTTCTTCTGAAACCGATAGCCCTGATCAAAGAAAGCATTCAAATACCAGTTATCATAATTTCCAGGATTGCACGGTTAGTTGCAAAAAATATCCGCTTACCTTGTCAGTTCCATAAATAAAATCACAGTATGTGAACACCGATGCAAAGTTGCTCTGGCTTTGTCCTCCAACATAATGATGGTAATCATGGTAGTCTGCACCACCATAAAATGGAATATATTTTGTGGGAGTCCAGGGAAAGTCGTATCTACATAGCAAGACATAAGTTACTCTATTGCATGCCATGTGTTCTCCAATAGTTAAGTTAAAACATCATTGCATAACATATACATCCAGGAGATGAAGAGCAGCACAAAGGTAAATACACGGTTGTTATGCAGCTTATCGACAAAAAACAGAACACATGAAGGGGCCGTATGTATTAATTGGATCTAAAAAAATCATAAAAGATATGAAACATGCTCATTGTGGTTCGAGCTGTAATTAACATAAACATTCCTCAATGCATAACTATTCCTCCTTGATAACCGGGAAAAAGGAAGTCCGGGAAATGTCCCAAGCTAAATGTCTATCACAATGAAACAATACATTAATATGTCTAGTATGGACACCTCTCCATTCTTAGTTTGTGGCACAGACCCCATCTTCTGGAAGTATCCTTTCTGTTTCCTTTTTTCTTCCTTCATAAGAGGAAGGAAACATCTGAGTAATATTAAGCTCCCTATGGTTTCCCAAAACCGTATTGGGAAAGGAGTTTGAAAAAAATGGAAAATAAAGGCGGCATCATGATCACTACCTCTTAGCCCCACGCAAGTCATTTCAATGCAAAATGAAGCTATCTATCACTTCGAGCCATCCCAACAGAGAAATCAAAACCATAGCTCCTTGGAGAAGAATGCTCCTCTATTGTAGTAACACTGGATTTTATCTCCATTTATCTATTGCATATAGATTTACATGTCTTAAAGCCTACACAACAGTAAATTACTACAACACTTACTAGGAGACTATGTACTAACCTAGCATCAAAGTTACTTTCGAACAATTTCAACCTGCGAATCACTCTGCATGATAACTAGAAAGCAATCAGCATTTAGCCAAATGTAACAGCAGAAACACAATATCACCACGCCATAATTGTCATGTGGGCTAACTTCAGGTTGCCTGATCTCCACAAGTGACAGGCTCTAATACGGCATAGAACTTAGCCATGTTTTATTACTTGCACCATTCATATACCTTTACAAGGAATGCACAGAACAGTGAGCTTGCATAAATTTTGGGAAAATGTCAATAGCCAAAATCTAAATAGGTGATATTCACTGATCTTACGCCACTGGTCATGAATATTCTAAGGATAGGAACTAGCATACATCATTTCTTAGCATTAATCACATTATTTATCCATCACCTATGCTATGATTTAAAAATTTACAAAATAATAAAATCAACAAGAAGATGGAATTTGGTACTTTGCAGAAGCTCTAGCTTGCTGTGGAGGAAGTGACATGGCCTAACCTCTCCAGAAAAACAATAGCTTCTTTTTGCAAGTTTAGCTTTTCATCTACCGTAATTCTACTAATTGATCAGGTACAAAAGATTGTCGATTTGTTTATAAATCAATAACAATTCGCCGACTAAACCAAAGAAAAAGAAAAAAGAGAAAAAGAAAACGAGCCATGCTGATCCCCACAGCAAGAAAAGGTAAGTCACTACTGAAGATACTAGAAATCTCCCCCTATTTTGCAGAAAAGTCTATAATTTAACAGTAAAGCAGCAAGGGAGTTCTAAAGTTGTTATCATTTTGTCACAATCAAGTAAAGCAGAAAAGAGCTCTCAGAAAATAAGAAAAGCATAGCATGCGTACCCGCTGTGCGTCTCAATCGCCTCAATCTGCCGTAAAGCGATCCAAAGCCAAAATGTGATCATATGCCCAGGAACCATAGCTGGACCAAGAAAAGATGGAATTCCGAGGATCAAAATTTCGGCCCAGTGCGCATATGGGGCAGCGAACCCAATAGGAGCTGTATATTCATGGTGAACTTTGTGGATTTTCTCGTATCCCCATTTACCATGGAGAAATCTGTGGATCCAGTAATTGGTAAAGTCTTCCACCATGAAATACACCACCAACTGTAGAAAGACTTCCCATCCGGAAGGCAATGGCAAACTTGTTCGAATCCCTATCATCTGTGGACATGCAAGTTAAATATGCAACAGCAGAAGCCTTAAATCTCATTTCAAAATTTAACAAAAAGAAAGAAGCAGTCAGCATCACATTCTGAAGAATCAAAAATTAAAACTGATCGCTCGGTAAACCAGAATAAAATCAAACAAAGTCCCAGAAAATCAATCAAAGGGAAAAACATTCAATACAGATGGCTTTAATTAATAGAAACTCCGCAATAATTACCCGAAAACAAAACATCAATAATTATCCAATATTCACATCAATCAACAAAATCTGTTATTTCCATTGGCAACCAATGCCAAAACCCAGCAGATCCCATGTTACAGAATCTACTACAAAGCCAGAGTGCTCATCAAAAATCAATTTAACAAATCAAAACCACACCAACAAATTCTTATAACAGAAGATGCACCAAATTTCCCAAGATAAGAAACAAAAAAGTGCCCAAAAACCAGACTTTAACAATCAAAACCACACGAAATCTCACAAATAAACTCTCGTGACAAAAACAAAAAACTGTCTCACCTTGACAGATGGATAAGAAACCAACTGTAAAGGCCCCACGACAAAAAAGAACATAAGCATAACATCCTTGTAACACTTGAAAGTCTCAGAAGGAGACAACTTGACTTTAGGCTGAATCTTGTACTTATCAAACCCACCAGATCGCCAGAGACTTATGAAAACCATGGGTAAAGGCACGACAGAGAAGAGCAGAAAAAGAAACAAGATGTTATGGCAATAAAGATAATAATCTGACTTTTTTGCAGAGTAATTGAACCATAACGTCTCTGCTACTGTCAAATTCCTTCCTAGCGCCGCCGCTGCCTCGTCCAGGGTGGCGTACGGGAGCATTGCGGCGGCGGAGACTAGATTTTGGTGTGAAAACTGAAAATGTATGGTGGAGAGAGAAGAAGGGTGGCTGGGGATGATAGTTAGTTAAAATATGCGGGAATTTTTGAACCGGTATGAGGACACAAAACAAAAGGGGGTTGTCTTTATAATGGTGTTCCGAGGGACCACGGTCCTATAATATAATAGTAACAAGTATACTTAGCTTTTGTTTTTTTTGTTCGGAAATGCAGTTCATCGGTGGTGGGAAATTTCGAGAATTATTTTTTAAAAAATTAATATTTTTACTATTTTTTATTATATTAATATTAAAAATAAAAAATTATTTCAAAATATTTTAAAAAATAATTTATATCACTCTTTACATATGACCCATCAATACCCAGCATAATTACACTTGGATGCCATTATGTTTTCTGCTCGAAGTAAATTGAGTGTTTTTTTTTTTAATGAAAAAAAGTTGTATAAACACACACACACGACCCACCAGTACACCAGCATAATTACACCTGGATGCCATTATGTTTTCTGCTCAAAGTAAATTGAGTTTTTTCTTCTCTTTTCTTTTTTGTAATGAAAAGAGTTATATATATGTTGGAATATGTTTCATTCGCTTCATTCCTAAAACTACTTTGAACTTTGGTCTTGAAAAAAAGAGAAGAAATGATAAGAGATATAAATTCTAGACTTATATTTTTGAGACCTCATTGGTGGCATGGAATTTTTTTTTCATATACACTTAGCATTAATTTAAAGATAAATTATTAGACAAATCTAGTTATTAAAGCCTATTTAAAATGAATTTGATATTATGATAGCTTTTGTGGTTGTGATTTAAAAAAAAATTATTTTATAAAAAATACTTTTAACTGAAGTTGATTTGATATTGATATATATTTGGTTAAAACTGCAGCTAAAATTAAGGTTGAATAAAAAACAATTTAATATATTTTATTAAAAATATTTTTTAAATTGAGGTTATAAAAATAACTAAAAAAGATACATATTAATATTAATAATTTTAATTTAAATATTGTAAATTTAACCACTACTATTATATCATTAAATAAATAATATTTTATATCAAATATTTTTTATTATTCTATTAACCTATCTATAATTTCATTATATATAAAATTCATTCAATAAAGACTATAATTTTATTGTTTTTTGAACATGTAATAAAATTAGATAAAATATCATCAGAAACAAAATTAGAAATACCATAAAATTTTACAAATGTTGTGTCATCATGTGATTTCTTTTTAATTTACATGGTATATTAGATAATATTAAACACTAATTTTTCAAGTAAAATATAAATAAAAAATTCAAACTTTTTTGTTGGGCCAGCACTGTTCAAGTGAAAAATAAATTATAGTAGGTCCTACACACAATAAATAACATTTTTTATTTTACCAATTATTTTATTTTTATAGTTTACTTCAAAAACAGAAGCAACCATAAAAATAAAAACTTTTTTATCTAAGAAAATATGATTGTTTTTCCCTTTTTTTATTATGAAAAACATTCATTTCAATAAATGTTTTTATTAATATGGAAGAAGAAAACAATTATGGTACGTATATTACAATTTATAATAACAATTATTGTGGTTGGAGCAAGGGAGTGTTTTTTTCTTCTCATAGAGAAAAATGAAAAAGCATGATCCTGAATGGGATAATAATATATTCTTTCACGATTGGTTAATTCATTATATAATCTAATGCAATGGACAATATTTTCCTAATTGTAATTTTCCCCTTTTATAATTCCCACGAAGTAGATGATGAGCATCAACTATGAAAATATATACTTTACATTTTTTAGATATAAGTTAGAAAGGCTTTATATGAATCTGGACTTTTTTATATTTCTCTAATAAACTTTTGAGGGAAAAAAAGTTATGCTTAAGATAGAGTGACCTTCGATACTTATGTTAGCAAAGTGGAAAGAAAATTTGATGTATATTTATAAAAAAATAAAAATACAAAAGAGTATTTATTTTAGCAAAGTGTAAAGGTGCATGTGAAGATTTGTTGTGTTTGTGAGGGAGATGCGGTAAGAGAATAAAGATGACCATGTGAGCTCCCCTTAATTGTATCTATTATAAGTATTAAGAGAGTTGAGCTTAGAACTCGGTCTTACCCATCGACTCATGGTTTTTATATTTATTTATCATGTGAATTTACTTATTATATAATAATAATTATTTTTATTTTAGATGGTTTTTATATTTATTTATCATGTGAATTTATTTATCATATAATAATAATTATTTTTATTTTAAATGGTTGAATTATCATTATAAACATTTACATTGTAATTGTAGACGGTTATATCATTACATTTAGAATTGCGTTGCAATATTATCATGTAATTTGAAGTAGATCGCGTGATATTGCAATAATAATTATTTTTAAAATATTTTTTATTTAAAAATTTATTTTTAATATTAACATATTAAAAGATATAAATATATATATATATATATAAATAAATAAAATTTTAAACCAACAATATTACACTATTGTTTTATGTGCCACAAGAGATTTGCTAAAAACACCGAAACAAATGAACATATATCATAAGAAAAATATCACAACAAAAAGATATAAATATATATATATATATATAAATAAATAAAATTTTAAACCAACAATATTACACTATTGTTTTATGTGCCACAAGAGATTTGCTAAAAACACCGGGAATGGAGGGGCTTCGATTTGAATTAATTTTCTAGCTACTATGCTCGGTTTTGTAGCCTTTTTTTTTTTTTTAATTGTTGACCGGGCTTGGTTTTACTCCTTAGTTTTGCCCTTTTCCGACTCCTCAGCTGCTTCTCTCCCCGATTTTTGCACCTCCTCGGTTTTGGTTTTTTTTAAAAAAAACAAACAACACACCATTAGGTGGTTAAGATTTTTGTATTGTATATATCTTTTTCTATGTTCAATCTATTATTCTTTAAGAATTTATATACAGAAATACAGGTTATCTATTTATAAAAATATAGTTGGTGTAATAATATGACAGTGTGCGTTTCATAATTCTGGCTTTTGACTAATTATCTGTTATGATTTGATTTCCTCAGCCGATTCTTGGTTCCTGGGTTTTGACTGATTGTTGGCGTGATCTCCTATCGTGGATTATCTGATGCAACCGAAGGAGCTTAATCATTGGCATGATCCTTTACAGGTTTGCCCCTTTTCCCCTCGTTCTGGGCCGCCCTGTCATGTATCATGCTTGGCGACTTATAACTCTTCTTCTTTGTGTCTCTGTTTTGCAAACCGCCATTTTTCTCTTAATTGAGCATTACCCATTTTTTTAAGAGGACAATTAAGCACCGCTTTAACAACATTTCAATGGCTAAATAACAAGTTCTAACTTCCAGACAGTTAACCCTTTGATTTTGCAAGCACTGATTTTCTTGAGTGATTCCCGCGACATGAAAGAAAAGAATATACAGTTCCGAAATTGCTACAATGCTAATTTCTCAATTCCGCTAAGATAGAATGGTTAATTTAATAATTTTAGAAAGAGCATCGTTGTGGATTTGATTGTAGTTTTCTTTGTTATTATTTTAAAAAAGTATTCAATATTTCATGAACATAAAATCAATCATAATTAAAAACTATTCATAAAGGAAAAGTGAATTTTCAAATGTATCTAAAGATAAAATTTCTCTGTTTGATTATCTACAAGCAAGAAACCTGCGTTTACGAATAAGAGCTAGAAGCAGTAACGCACGTCTCGAATAATAGTAACAGACGGAGAACTATGGACAGCTAGACTATGTTAATGAATCTAGATATTACTAGTTTCATTTTCCATGTTTTCGGGTATGGATTTGGGATGTCAGTAATGCTTTTATAAGTATTTTTAAAAAAATAGCATTAATTCAAAACATATCAAGTTAAGAGGGTTAAATCATGACCTGTTGGAAAAAAACTATAAGATGAACATGTACAAACTCTATTGTTAAAATAAATTCTAAGCCACGTTGTGTTGTTTTCTTGAATGTTGAATAAATGGTGGATCATTGGAAAAAAATTTATAGTATTATTAAAACTATCTCAATAAATTAATTTTGAAATTTTGTAATATAATTATTTACTTAATTTAAATTATATAAAAATTATGATGATATAGCCTGATTAATTTTGATGGTTCAAAGATAACTTTAAACTACTAATAAAAATTCGAGTTAACTAAAACAATAAAAATAATTTTTTTTAATATTAAAATAATAATATATTAAATTTTATTAGATCAATTTAGGTTAGCTATTAAATTTACTACTCAGGCTTGGACATTATTAGGATGTGCTAACCTAGTCAAATAATTATCTATTTCTTTTTCTTTCTTTCTTTCTTTTTTAATTAGATTTTTTTTTAACTTGGATGGGATGAAATTCATCATTGAATTAAAAAATTATTAAATAATCAAAACTAAATTAAAATAAATAAATTGGGTTTGAGTGGGGGGAGATTCAAGACTCAATTAAATAGTTAGTATAGAATAAAAAACTATATAATTTCTAGTCACTGCAACTATATGCATATTCATTACATCTTTATTTAATGTTTTTCTTCTCATATATTATTATATCTTATTATGTTTATTAATTTAAGCATTGAAGTTTTCACAAGAAACATAGTAAATATCATGATGAGGACAAATGAGTTTTGTAACCTCTAACAAATACTCAATATAAATGATTTATTGGCATATTTAATTTGTAAATTATAGGTGTTGTGTTAAAATAAGGTCTAGACACCAGTTTTATCTCCTATATCCTTAAATTATTATTTTTTAGGAAAATTAAGTTTTGCTGTGAAATTTTGACTCGTAGTCTAAATAATGTATCATTGAATGTTTTTAACAATTTGAAAAAACCTAAAAATATATATATATTTGTATTGATTAATCAAATGGACAATATTGAATTGACAAGAAGCATGAAGTTTGTCATTTTCTAATTATTTTTATTTGTAAAGAATTAATAAAACGATGTAATCTACAAATGTTTAGAGTTTGACTGTTAGTTTTAATAGTTAAATTTGATGGCAGGCCTTGTTTTATCACAATCCCAATAGTTTAAGGATAACATACGTCATCAAACCCC